GGGTCATAGGCAGCATTCCTCCTCCTCCAAACACGGCGAGTTGAGTTGATGCCAAAGAGCTCGATTTTGGTCTCATCTGACCACAACACTTTCACCCAGTTCTCCTCTGAATCATTCAGATGTTCATTGGCAAACTTCAGACAGGCCTGTATATGTGCTTTCTTGAGCAGGGGGCGCTGCAGGATTTCAGTCCTTCACGGCATAGTGTGTTACCAATTGTTTTCTTGGTGACTATGGTCCCAGCTGCCTTGAGATCATTGACAAGATCCTCCCGTGTAGTTCTGGGCTGATTCCTCACCGTTCTCATGATCATTGCAACTCCACGAGGTGAGATCTTGCATGGAGCCCCAGACTGAGGGAGATTGACAGTTCTTTTGTGTTTCTTCCATTTGCGAATAATCGCACCAACTGTTGACACCTTCTCACCAAGCTGCTTGGCGATGGTCTTGTAGCCCATTCCAGCCTTGTGTAGGTCTTCAATCTTGTCCCTGACATCCTTGCAGAGCTTTGGTCTTGGCTATGGTGGAGAGTTTGGAATTGATTGATTGCTTCTGTGGACAGGTGTATTTTATACAGGTAACAAGCTGAGATTAGGAGCACTCCATTTAAGAGTGTGCTCCTAATTTCAGCTCGTTACCTGTATAAAAGACACCTGGGAGCCAGAAATCTTTCTGATTGAGAGGGGGTCAAATACTTATTTCCCTCATTAAAATGCAAATCAATTTATGAAATTTTTTTGTTGTCATTCTGTCTCTTACTGTTCAAATAAACCTACCATTAAAATTATAGACTGATCATTTCTTTGTCAGTGGGCAAACGTACAAAATCAGCAGGGGATCAAATACTTTTTTCCCACACTGTATGGATGACAGTAAAGCTATGGTTGAGCTACAGGGTTTGCGTGCAAACACATGTTTACAACAATAGAATTATACACACTACAAGAAAATGCATCCGCCTGCTATCGAGGGACCAACAGCAGTAGAGGCAGCAGATAATGAGTGAGTAAACTGATCAGCTTAAATATACCACCATATTAAGTTAGGAAGTGTTTGTAGAACATGATTGGTGCGACGTCAGCTGATGCATCAGCTGATGCATCGCTGAAGACAATACTCTGGTTCCCTGTCTCAACCTGCTGCACTTAATATAGTAGTAGTTTATTTCATTTTTACATTTAGGCCGTACTTGGCAGCTAAAAGCTGAATTGCAGTACACAAGTAAACGTAAAATAAACAAGCATCAAGTCTATATCTTCAGAGGGTGCCTGCGTTTGGTGAAGGCATCTACCAGTATTCTACTGGTAACCGAGTTGTATGGTAGGGACAAGGTTGGTGATGATAATGGTGATGATGATGGAGTTGGGTCACTGGAGTTGTCCTCAGACGTTGTTCTCGTCAGTCCTCAGCTCTCTGTAGCTACTGGACGACTCCTCCACCAGCTATGTGTAGTACCCACTTGGGTGATGCTTCTTCTGCTGCCGATTCTGGCGCTTAAAACTCACCACACATAAGTCCAATGTATAAAGTAATCCTATAAGGGAGCCCTCTTCCATCTCCACACTGCAGTCCTCTCACACTTTGGATGGTGAAACAAGAAGCTGTGTCAAGAATGCGTCTTTTGAATGCAAACAGTCAGCTGGCTAGCTAACAAGCTAACTAACTAGCTAGCTAGCTAAGCAAACCAAACAAATCAACCTCCCATCATTTCTGCAACTCCGATGCCCAAGACAAGTAGACATATTGGATCATAATGTTTAATTAGCAAACAAAACAAAACTGATTTCAAATAACAAAACAAAAAAACTTAAATCAACTAAATATGTACAATATTTACAGGAGCTCTCAACCTATGCTGCATTTGTGGCGTCATGGCAACCAAAATAAAAATATTTTACTGTAACTAAATAAACACACACACACAGATGTCTCACTCGCCACAAGGTTTTTATTTTTCCATATAAAAATAGCCATCTCATCGTTATCATCAAAAGAAACAATGAACAACAGACACAAAGTGTTAATGCTTTGTAGAATTCACTTTTGATTCATTATTTTCACAAGGAGTGCTTTCACTGAAAGCAATGTCTCTTTGATACTGTCTGTTGAATTATCTAAAGGTTAATGTCACATTTCCTTAGGAAATTAGAATAGAGCGCGATTAGGTCCTGCTTTGTTTGCTCTAAACCCAGGGTCATATTAATTAGAGCAAACCGTAGCAAAGTGTTTTGCAACGTAAAGCGAAAATGAGTTTTTATTGGACAAGTTTTGGTAGGTACTCCCTGTTTTAGTCAAATTCCTTCCGTTTGGTGCAATGAATACAACCCAGTGAGAGTGGCACACACTCTCCTCAATAAATACACCATAAAATACACCATAAAAATGTACCCTCTCAAGGAGGTCACTACACTACATAAAATTTGGTCAACATGCAAAATCAATAATGACACAATATTCCAAATGAGTCCTTGATTTGTCTGTACGAGAACAATTTCTTTGTTTTCATCAACATTGGATAAAAAAAGTATATATTTTATCTGATAACTCAGATATAACAATCATCTGTGTTATAAGCGCAGATTCTTCATTCACTAAGATTTGGAATCAATCACACTTTCTGAGATGCTTTTTGAAAGCATAGAGAAACCCTGTTTGAAAAAAGAAAGTGCTGTGGGTCTAATACAAGACCGAGGGAGGGAAAGGAAACAGAGAAAGAGAGACATGAGGGGATAAGGGAGGAGGCAGAACGTCTGAGTAACACTCAGCATTAGAGAATCTAAAAGTAAGGGCTGAGACTGAAACATCAGTCCTTTGCCAATACCTTTGTTTCCATCTGGAATAAAGCCTGAGCATTGCATGAAGACATACTATTTAAACATTTTTCTTGGGGTAAACCCCTTATTTTTGGAATATGTTTCTCTTGTTGAGTACCTTTCCTATTGTTTGATGGTTGGCTGAAGGTTTGTATAGAGGCTGGCTTGAAACCTTCACAGACAATGATAAACATGCTACAGTACCAGAAGGAGATCCTTTTGACCAGACTCCATGTGAAGGTACAAAAGTATGTGGACAGCCCTTCAAATTAGTGTATTCGGCTATTTCAGCCACACCCATTGCACACAGCCATGCAATCTCCATAGAAAACATTGGCAGTAGAATGGCCCGTAATTAAGAGCTCAGTGACTTTCAACCGTCATAGGATGCCACCTTTCCAACAAGTCAGTTTGTCAAATTTCTGCCCTGCTAGAGAGCTGCCCTGGTCAACTGTAAGTGCTGTTATTGTGAAGTAGAAACGTCTAGGAGCACCAACGGCTCAGCCGCGAAGTGGTAGGCCACACAAGCTCACAGAACGGGACCGCCGAGTGCTGAAGAGCGTACGCATAGCGCATAAAAATTGTGTCCTCGGTTGCAACACTCACTACCGAGTTCCAAACTGCCTCTGGAAGCAACGTCAGCACGAGAACTGTTCATCAGGAGCTTCAGGAAATGGGGTTCCATGGCCGAGCAGCCGCACGCAAGCCTAAGATCACTATTCACAATGCCAAGCGTCGGCTGGAGTGGTGTAAAGCTCACTGCCATTGGACTCTGGAGCAGTGGAAACGCGTTCACTGGAGTGATGAATCACGCTACACCATCTGGCAGTCCGATGGACGATTCTGGTTTTGGCGGATGCCAGGAGAACGCTACCTGCCCGAATGCATAGTGCCAACTGTAAACTTTGGTGGAGGAGGAATAATGGTCTGGGGCTGTTTTTCATGGTTCGGGCTAGGCCCCTTAGTTCCAGTGAAGCAAAATCTTAATGCTACAGCATACAATTACATTCTAGAAGCCGGGTGTACACTACACAATTTTGGCCCCGATTTAGCTGTCCCAGACAAGTTTTTGAGATCGGAGACAAAATCCCCATGCCTACTCGGGGCGCACGGCCGTCACCGACGCTCGTTTAATGTGAGTGGGTCAGAGACGCAATCTGAGGTTTGAGCAGTCCCAGACGTCCCCATATTTTTAAACATTTTATCGGCACAAAATCTGTAATGCTCTTGTTGTGTGAGATGTGCAATGAAACGTTTTGAGAACGGTGATGAGCAATAACCAATGAGACCTCGCCAGAGAAGAAGCCAGTGAGATGATGACGTTGTTTAGCATCACCCAGAATGTATAGACTCTCGAGAAGGCGCGATGAATACTACTAGTATGCGTTTGTACTTGCCTTTAATCAAGTGTCAAATCGTTACAGTTCTGAAGTTCACAAGCAATGTTATTCAATTCAAAATGTTGGGTAGATATTTCAACTCTGTACGGCAAGCGTGAATGTCTGACTGAAAAACGTTTGATGCTGTTTTGAGCCACAGCTCGTTGTAGCTACATTAAATCTAATCACATCATCACATCATTGTTTTCGCAAGACAACGTGGTATCGACAATCCTCAAGACCAAGTGAAGAATCTTGGCAAGACAAAAAAAAAACTACAGGAAAGATGGTCGTTTAATGTGAGAGGTTTAGCGATGTTAGGATTTTGAAAGTCGTGTAGTGTACACCTGGCTTTAGTTCCAGTGAAGGGAAATCTTAACGCTACAGCATACAATGGCATTCTAGATGATTCTGTGCTTCCAACTTTGTGGCAACAGTTTGGGGAAGGCCCTTTCCTGTTTCAGCACAACAATGACCCAGTGCACAAAGCGAGGTCCATACAGAAATGGTTTGTCGAGATCGGTGTGGAAGAACTTGACTGGCCTGCACAGAGCCCTGACCTCAACCCCATCAAACACCTTTGGGTTGAATTGGAATGCCAACTGCGAGCCAGGCCTAATCGCCCAACATCAGTGCCCGACCTCACTAATGCTCTTGTGGCTGAATGGAAGCAAGTCTCCGCAGCAATGTTCCAACATCTAGTGGAAAGCCTTCCCAGAAGAGTGGAGGCTGTTATAGCAGCAAAGGGGGAACCAACTCCATATTAATACCCATGATTTTGGTATGAGATGTTTGATGAGCAGGTGTCCACATACTTTTGAACATGTAGTGTAGTTTAGGGGGCACAGGAGGGGAATCTCAGGCGTGCACTCTCACCCTTCTTAGCTAGGAGGGTAACCTCACTACACCCTGAGCTATAGCCTTGCACAACCCAACATTTTCCTTTGCAGAACACATATGAAGAGCAATATTGTAACATTGTTCTCCTAGTGATATTATTGCACTTCAGTGAGAGCTGGTTTGGGTTAGGCTTCTCTATGCCCCATGGAGGGTGTGGTCTAGGATCCATCTTCAACTCCCTCTGTCCGACCCATCCAATGGGGTGACTCACTAAGCCGTGAGGGCATGCCCCAGGAGCAGGTTAGCCAATCAGAGGGAGGTTTGGCAGTTAAGTCTCCTCCCCCTCCGTTGATTCAGCTGCCAACTCTGACGTAGGTGACCCGTCCCTTGGCAGAGCTCAGACTGGCACTGCCCGTCTTGAAGAATACAAGCTGGTGACCTGGGGACAGAGAAGAAGAAAAATCAATAAATGTGAATAAAAGTGGAAAAGTAGGAGAGACCGTAAGAGGAAGACATTGTGTTAAATGAGCTGAAAGTACCCTAGCATATGCATACCTTCTACAATGTATTATCTGTTAATTGCATGAATACGATGACAATCGTACCAGAAATTGCTAAAAAATAGAAAGACTGAAAATAAAGAACTGCGGTGTGTAGAGGAGGTAGAGACAGAGAGAGATACTGTATGATGGCTGGAGAGGAGGAGGACGAAGAGTGAAGAGAAGGAATGTGAAAGTGCTGTGGGTCTAGACGGGCCTGGTTCAATAAATAGGGATTGCCATGCTGATGTGCTCCCCTCAGACTGAGCTCTAATGAAGTGTGTGTGTGTGTGTGCGCGTGAGTGACACCTAGTAGAAAGGAGGGGGTTAGTGACGAGAGACGACGATACTGAAGGCCCTGCCTCTGTTTGATCAGAGAGAGAGACGTCTGACAACGCTGGGTACTTTACCTCCCACACACACACACACACACACACACACACACACACACACACACACACACACACAAACACACACAGGGTACTTTATGGACAAACCCCACAGACACAAATGGACACACAAACACACACACACACAGACAGCCACACGAATGCACCCCACACATTGTCTTCAACAATACAATGATAACGCTGTAGCGTGAAGAAACATTCACTCGCTGTTGGCTGGGCTCCCTGCTTGTGCCATCAAACCCCTGCAACTTATCCAGAACTCTGCAGCCCGCCTGGTTTTCAACCTTCCCAAGTTCCCTCACGTCACCCCGCTCGAAGCTCGCATCCACTACAAGACCATGGTGCTTACCTACAGAACAGCAAGAGGAACTGCCCCTCCCTACCTTCAGGCTATACTCAAACCCTACACCCCAACCCGAACATTCCGTTCTGCCACCTCAGGTCTCTTGGCCCTCCCACCCTTAAAATAGGGCAGCTCCCGGTCAGCCCAGTCCAAGCTCTTCTCTGTCCTGGCACCCCATTGGTGGAACCAGCTTCCCCCTGAAGCTAGGACAGCAGAGTCCCTGCCCATCTTCCAAAAACATCTGAAACCCTACTTCTTTAAACAGTATCTTAAATATTCCTCCTCCTCCTCCTCCTCCTCCTCACCTCGAATAATAAATAAATAACCCCCCCTTGTAGCTCTGACTCTACTGATAGCTACGTTATTAAGGAAAAATGTACTTTCTATGCCTGTGATATGTGGTTGTCCCACCTAGCTATCTTAAGATGAACGCACTAACTGCAAGTCGTTCTGGATAAGAGCGTCTGCTAAATGACTAAAATGTGAATGTAAATGTAACTCTTGCCTGTCCAGGTGGTCTGATTGGTCAGTACAAATGCTTGGCACTGGGCATGGCTCTCACACACACCAATAGCCTCTGTGATGCTGAAGACTGATAGCAGACATCCATCGTGCTGATAGGATGGCCAGCAGCGGTAGTTCTCCCCAGGAATAGAGGCATCCACCACATGCTTATAGTCTGGAGAAGACAAGGAGAGAAGTAATTTAGTTAGCAAGGAAGGGTGTGTGTGTGTGTGCGCGTGTGTGCGTGTGTGTGCGTGCGTGTGCATGTATGTGTGTGTGTGTGTGTGCATGTGTGTGCATGTGGTCCTCTGTAGCTCAATTGGTAGAGCATGGCGCTTGTAACGCCAGGGTAGTGGGTTCGATCCCCGGGACCACCCATACGTAAAAATGTATGCACACGTGACTGTAAGTCGCTTTGGATAAAAGCGTCTGCTAAATGGCATATTATTATTATGTTTGTCACTGGTTGGGGGAGATACACTGAGGGTCCTGCACATGTGTAATGAGGTAGCTTATTATGTGAGAATACCTTGTTTTCTCTTCTCTCTTTGTGTCTTTTCTGTTTTTAACACTCCTAAATATTAAATTGGACCCCCCCCCAAACTTCTCCCTCCAACTATTTTTTACTTTGAAATAAAATAAGGTGATTCATTAAAACATTAGGTTGAATTTGAGTGTAAGCAGTTGCAATTGAAATGTACATTTACCATGCCAATAAAGAAACATAACTTTTATTAAATCGAATTACAGAGGGAATTACAAAATGCTCAACATTGTTTTAACCAGATCCAGGGTTCCCCTAAGGATCCACTAAAAATATGAGTGTGTTTGACGGACATTTAATAAAAGCAAAAAAATCTAAAATACAAAAGAAATGAATAGAATTAAATAGGTTCGCTTTGCCAAGGCCCATATCAAAATACTGCTGGTAGCCAATAGTTGTATGTTGTAGAAAATAGAATAGCCTGTTTTGTGTCCTGGGTTTTATGCTCAATAGAGCAAGTCTTATTTCTCAGAGTGTTCTCAAGTTGAACAATAACTCCACAGACATTACTGATTAAGCCTGACCAGACATGGTTAGCTGGATCTGAGGTGGAACATAGAATCTTGAGTGCATGGCGACCCAACTTAGTTGCAACTAACCATATACACGTATCAATAAGTAGTTTGAATGATCAGACTTTTGAATTTCAACAGTGTATATGACAATGTGCAGAATCATGTATATGATAACACAGTCATGCTCTTGATTTAAGTATGCTAGGGTCATGTGGGGTTTTGGTTGGTGAGTAGCTTGATTGATGTGTGGCAATTGTCATTCTCATGTATACTGAACAAAAATATAAACACAACATGCAACATTTTCAAAGACTTTACTGAGTTACAGTTCATTTAAGGAAATCAGTCAATTGAAATACATTTATTAGGACCTAAACTATGTATTTCACATGACTGGGAATACAGATATGCATCTGATGGTCACAGATACCTTTAAAAAAAGGTAGGGGCGTGAATCAGAAAACCATTCAGTATTTGGTGTGACCACCATTCGCTTCATGCAGCGCGACACATCTCCTTTGCATAGAATCGATCAGGCTGTTGATTGTGGCCTGTGGAATGTTATCCCACTCCTCTTCAATGGCTGTGCGAAGTTTCTGGATATTGGAGGGAACTGGAACACGCTGTCGTACACGTAGATCCAGAGTATCCCAAACATGCTCAATGTGTGACATGTCTGGTGAGTATGCAGGCCACGGAAGAACTGGGACATTTTCAGCTTCAAGGAATTGTGTGCAGATCCTTGCGACATGGGACTGTACATTATCATGCTGAAATTATAAGGTGATGGCGGCGGATGAATGGCACGACAATGGGCCTCAGGATGTTATCATGGTATCTCTGTGCATTCAAATTGCCATAGGAAAAAATATATTGTGTTTGTTGTCCGTAGCTTATGCCTGCCCATACCATAACCCCACCGCCACCATGGGGCACTCGGTTCACAACGTTGACATCAGCAAACCGCTCGCCCACACAACGCCACACACATGGTCTGCAGTTGTGATGCCGGTTGGACGTACTGCCAAATTCTCTAAAATGATGTTGGAGGCGGCTTATGGTAGAGAAATGAACATTAAATTATCTGGCAACAGCTCTGGTGGACATTCCTGCAGTCAGCATGCCAATTGCACAGTCCCTCAACCTTGAGACATCTGTGGCATTGTGTTGTTTGACAAAACTGCTAATTTTAGAGTGTCCTTTTATTGTCCACAGCACAAGGTGCACCTGTGTAATTTAATCAGCTTCTTGATATGCCACACCTGTCAGGTGGATAATTTGTCTTGGCAAAGAAGAAATGCTCACTAACAGGGATGTAAACAAATTTGTTCACAAAATGTGAGTTATTTCAGCTCATGAAACATGGGACCAATACTTTACATGTTGCATTTATATTTTTGTTCAGTGTATTTACTGTAAGTCTAATAAAACACAGATTTGTTCTATGCTACTTTCTCTAGTGGTAAGAAACATTACTGACAATGATTACAATTACTGGCCATTGTAATGCTGATCTTTAAATGCTAATAGTGAGGTTTTCCTCTGTGTCATCTCAAATCGCTGCGATTAAATCAAATCAAATCAAATTTTATTGGTCACATGCGCCGAATACAACAGGTGCAGACATTACAGTGAAATGCTTACTTACAGCCCTTAACCAACAGTGCATTTATTTTAAACAAAAAAGTAAGAATAAAACAACAACAAAAAAGTGTTGAGAAAAAAAAGAGCAGAAGTAAAAAATAAAGTGACAGTAGGGAGGCTATATATACAATAGAATAAAGTGACAGTAGGGAGGCTATATATACAGGGGGGTACCGTTGCATAGTCAATGTGCGGGGGCACCGGCTAGTTGAGGTAATATGTACATGTGGGTAGAGTTAAAGTGACTATGCATAAATACTTAACAGAGTAGCAGCAGCGTAAAAAGGATGGGGTGGGGGGGCAGTGCAAATAGTCCGGGTAGCCATGATTAGCTGTTCAGGAGTCTTATGGCTTGGGGGTAGAAGCTGTTGAGAAGTCTTTTGGACCTAGACTTGGCACTCCGGTACCGCTTGCCGTGCGGTAGCAGAGAGAACAGTCTATGACTAGGGTGACTGGAGTCTTTGACAATTTTGAGGGCCTTCCTCTGACACCGCCTGGTATAGAGGTCCTGGATGGCAGGGAGCTTTGCCCCAGTGATGTACTGGGCCGTACGCACTACCCTCTGTAGTGCCTTGCGGTCAGAGGCCAAGCAGTTGCCATACCAGGCGGTGATGCAACCAGTCAGGATGCTCTCGATGGTGCAGCTGTAGAATTTTTTGAGGATCTGAGGACCCATGCCAAATCTTTTTAGTCTCCTGAGGGGGAATAGGCTTTGTCGTGCCCTCTTCACGACTGTCTTGGTGTGTTTGGACCATGATAGTTCGTTGGTGATGTGGACACCAAGGAACTTGAAGCTCTCAACCTGTTCCACTACAGCCCCGTCGATGAGAATGGGGGCGTGCTCAGTCCTCTTTTTTTTCCTGTAGTCCACAATCATCTCCTTTGTCTTGGTCACGTTGAGGGAGAGGTTGTTGTCCTGGCACCACACGGCCAGATCTCTGACCTCCTCCCTATAGGCTGTCTCATCGTTGTCGGTGATCAGGCCTACCACTGTTGTGTCGTCGGCAAACTTAATGATGGTGTTGGAGTCGTGCCTGGCCATGCAGTCATGGGTGAACAGAGAGTGACATCTGATTACACATCATCTGATTACACTGTGGTTCTGCTGACTAGAAACCACACTCTACACAGTCCAGTCAGCAAGATGTCTCTGTGAGTGTGTGTGTGTGTGTGTGTGTGTGTGTGTGTGTGTGTGTGTGTGTGTGTGTGTGTACGTGATTTTCTACAGTGTAGAATAATAGTGAAGACATCAAAACTATGAAATAACACATATGGAATCATGTAGTAACCAAAAAAGTGTTAAACAAATCAAAATATATTTTATATTTGAGATTCTTCAAAGTAGCCACCCTTTGCCTTGATGACAGCTTTGCACACTCTTGGCATTCTCTCAACCAGGTTCATGAGGTAGTCACATGGAATGCATTTCAGTTAACAGGTGTGCCTTGTTAAAAGTTAATTTGTGGAATTGTTTTCCTTCTTAATGCATTTGAGCCAATCAGTTGTATTGTGACATTTACATTTAAGTCATTTAGCAGACTCTCTTATCAAGAGCGACTTACAGTTAGTGAGTGCATACATTTTTTTTTTTTTATACTGGCCCCCCATGGGAATCGAACCCACAACCCTGGCATTGCAAACGCCATGCTCTACCAACTGAGCTACATCCCTGCCGGCCGTTCCCTCCCCTACCCTCAACGACGCTGGGCCAATTGTGCGCCGCCCCATGGGTCTCCCGGTCGCGGCCAGCTACAACAGAGCCTGGATTCGAACCAGGATCTCTAGTGGCACAGCTAGCACTGCGATGCAGTGCCTTAGACCACTGCGCCACTCGGGAGACACAAGGTAGGGGTGGTATACAGAAGATAGCCCTATTTGGTAAAATATCAAGTCCATCAGCAAAGAGAAATGACAGTCCATCATTACTTTTTAAGACATGAAGGTCAGTCAATCTGGAAAAGTTTTTTCAAGTGTAGTCGCAAAAACCATCAAGCGCTATGATGAAATTGGCTCTCATGAGGACCGCCACAGGAAAGGAAGACCCAGAGTTACCTCTACTGCAGAAGATACGTCCATCGGAGTTACCAGCCTCAGAAATTGCAGCCCAAATAAATGCTTCACAGAGTTCAAGTAACAGACACATCTCAACATCAACTGTTCAGAGAAGACTGCGTGAATCAGGCCTTCATGGTCGAATTGCTGCAAAGAAACCACTACTAAAGGACACCAATAAGAAGAAGAGACTTACTTCGGCCAAGAGACACGAGCAATGGACTTTAGACCGGTGGAAATTCTGTTCTTTGGTCTGATGAGTCCAAATTAGAGATTTTTTGTTCCAACCGCCGTGTCTTTGTGAGACGTAGAGTAGGTGAACGGATGATCTCCACATGTGTGGTTCCCACCGTGAAGCATGGAGGAGGAGGAGGTGTGATGGTGTGGGGGTGCTTTAGTGGTGACACTGTCAGTGATTTATTTAGAATTCAAGGCACACTTAACCAGCATGGCTATCACAGCATTCTGCAGCGATACGCCATCCATTCTGGTTTGCGCTTAGTGGGACTATGATTTGTTTTTCAACACGACAATGACCCAACACACCTCCAGGCTGTGTAAGGGCTATTTGACCAAGAAGAAGAGTGATAGTGTGCTGTATCAGATGACCTGGCCTCCACAATCACCCAACCTCAACCCAATTGAGATGGTTAGGGATGAGTTGGACCAGAGAGTGAAGGAAAAGCAGCCAACAAGTGCTCAGCATATGTGGGAACTCCTTCAAGACTGTTGGAAAAGCATTCCAGGTGAAGCTGGTTGAGAGAATGCCAAGAGTGTGCAAAGCTGTCATTAAGGCAAAGGGTGGCTACTTTGAAGAATCTAAAATCTAAAATAGATTTTGATTTGTTTAACACTTCTTTGGTTACTACAATTCCATATGTATTAATTAATAGTTTTGATGTGTTCACTATTATTCTACAATGTAGAAAATAATTTAGTAAAAATTAAAGAAAAACCTTGAATGAGTAGGTGTGTCCAAACTTTTGACTGGTACTGTATGTGCATGATAATGAGCATATGTGTGTACTGGTTAGCATGTGCTCCACGAATCAGCAAAGAAAGAGATATTTCAGTAGCCTAGTATGTTGTGTTTTTAACTGACACAGTATTTATATACCATGTACATGAAGCAGTGTGAGCATCTGTACTTCCCCTACACAATCAGGATCCAGTTTTCCTATGGTCTGTGGGTTTAACTAAGCTTCACAGGACTGTGACAATGAGAAGAGAAGAGGAGGGCAGCTTCAAAGCAAGTCACCCCCCCCCCCTCCTTTAAAAGCCTCCCAGCCCGTGAATCATTGAGTCAGTTTCTCTCTTTCTCTGTTACTTATTCTCTTTCTCTTTCTCCATCTTGGAATCTAGTACTTTTCAATTTTCCCGACTACTCTTTCTAGTGTTGGAATACGGAATAGACATCACAACACTGCTTTCTGTCTTTCTTTCTCTGTCTCTCTGTCGCTCTCTCTCTCCCCCTCAATGTCTCTCTGTCTTCCACCCTTTCTCTCTATACCGTATATATCAGTGTCATGCCTGGCTGGGCCAGGAGTACTCCTGGTGATTTACAGGGAGGGTTTACACGTCTGTTAGAAGAGGAAGAAAGATGGCAGGAGGGGAGCAGGACAGAACGTCTCTGTGGACGACCTTTTCACGATTTACTATGTGGAGGTATGCACACACACGCATGCATGCACACACACACGCCCACACACACATGCGCCGTCCCCCCTGTATGCGTGGCAACAGACAGCCGTGCTCCGGGTAGTAAATAACTACAACTATTAGACGCTTTATGACTGTAATTAATGCTTTATGGAGCACTCGCTTTCTCTAAATGCAGGACTTAAAAGCTCCTAGAAATGGCATGATGGGGAGAGAGAACAAGGAGAGCAGGGGAGGAAGAGGGGGCTGAAGGGAAGGAGTGAGCAAGGGAATAAGCATGCACTGGTGTGTAATTGCATAAAAAGCACATGATGCAAGGCCACATTCCACAGGGAAGCCCTGCATGGGCGAACACTAGAAAGACCCTACCAGTGTTCCTGTGTGATAGTGTTGTTCTGTGTCAGTGAGAGAGGAGTTCAGGGTGGAGAGTGGAGAGTGAGAGGCCTACTGGAGCAGCAGTGTCTTTGTAAAGGGTTAAGCAGACACAGTGTTTGGCCCTTGGGCTGTGAGCACTCGTCGGTCAACAACTGTCTGGGTCTACTTTACACTGCCAATGGAGCGAGGCGAGGAGACACTGAGGGAGGGCAGGAATGGAGAGAGAAAGAACATGTGAAAGTAAAAGAAGATGAGCAAGGGGCACCAAGTGAATGTAAGACAGCGAAAACAGAATCCTCCCGATAGAGGAATGGAAAAAGGTGAATTGATAGAGACGGAAAGCTGTCAAGCAGAGATGAGAAGGAGACGGCCTGAGCGGGAGAGAGAGAGAGAGAGAGAGCTCACACTCACCTCTCTCCTCCCAATGCACCCTCAGCTTAGTAGACATGTCAGTCTCTCCCATCCCCCACTGAGTTCCCTCCCGTTATATACATTTTAATATATTTTATCTCATTACTATTATTTGTCCGTAGTATTTCTGAACATAGCTCTCTCTCCCCACCTCACTCCCCTGGGCCCCCACCTACACACACACATGTCTGTTTTACTATCCTTGTGGGGACCAAACATTTGATTCCCTAACCCTAACCCTTAACCTAACCCTAACCCTAACCCTAACCCTAACCCGAACCTGTGTGTGTGTGCATATTTACCTGTTCTGTGTGTCTGTGTGCTGTTCTGAAGGTAAAATCCATTTCTGTACAGGTGCAACACTTTCTCCAACTGAAGCAGCGTCTCATCTATCCCCCATATCAGCTCTCCTGAAACCAACACAGGAAGTAACATTCAGTTTAAACTCCACACCTTCAAACACAATTCCACATAACAAAGGTTATGACTTATTATTTTACCGACATTAAAGCATACCATTCAACCAAATCTGTGAGGAACAAAAATGGTGTACAATAGCACAGACAAAACAGGCCCAGCTCAGTCTTTGAACATGGATCAAGGGACATGGGACAGTGTCTGTGTTTGCTATCCTTATAGTAGACGCTGATCGGAGGTCGTTAAGCTCTCTGTCTGACTGGGAGAGATAGGATCACCTGACCCATCCCCCAGTTCATACACACACGCACAAACACACACACACAGACACAGATGTGCATACACTCATACACAGACACACACACCGCCCGCCCACGCGGCTCGCATCTTCACAGCCTGTTGTGTCCCAGTAAAACAGATCTCAAACACCCAGCTGACATACCATCACTCTGATGAGAAGCCAGATAGGTGGGAGAGGAGCAAGGAAGAAGAAAGAGAGAGCAAAAGGGAAGAATGGAAGAGAGAGAGAGAGAGAGAGAGAGAGAGAGAGAGAGAGAGAGAGAGAGAGAGAGAGAGAGAGAGAGAGAGAGAGAGAGAGAGAGAGAGAGAGAGAGAGAGAGAGAGAGAGAGAGAGAGATCCAGCTCAGGCATATAAAACATGGATAGCACTGAGCCAGTCTAAGTATAGTGGTAGCTAGTAGCTTCATATCTTAGCCAAACAGTAACTAGTGAGAAGCAGAGAGAGAGAACACACACCCACTGGGCACAACCTGGTTGAATCAACGTTGTTTCAACATAATTTCAACAACATTTTATGACATTGAATCAATGTGGGAAACTGATTGGATTTGCAAAAAGTCATCAACATACAGACGTTTCAGGATTTTCTGTCTCTTTTTCAACCAACTTTTAACCTAAATCCAGTGACATGGTTCAAAGTTTTGTTGATTCACTTCGAATTCAAGTTAGTTGACAACTCAATGAAATGTATATAAAAAATGTGACGTTGAACTGACGTCTGTCTCCAGTGGGCACTCACCTGTGGAGTTGACTATCTTGTCCAGTAGGGGTCTTAGAGTGGGTGGGGCACTGTGAGGCAGCAGGTATGTAAAGAAGAACCTGGAAATTAAAATCAACACAGGAGTTTCAAACACCACAGCTGTGTCCTTTGACTTCAGTTCTTGCCTGGTTTAGATATTATCTGTCGTAAAGGTATCGGTTAGTGTTTGTGTATAGTTTGTAATCAAAGGTACGTTTCTGTGTTTTTCAAGGTTCCATTCTAGGACCACTATTGTTTTCACTATATACGCTACCTCTTATGATGTCATTTGGAAGCACAATGTCAACTTTCACTGCTATGAGGGTGATATACAGCTGTACATTTCGTGTCAAGATCGAGACCGGGAGGGGGCCAAGGGGTCCGAGATCGAGATAAGACCGAGACCAGAAAAATGCGAGTCCAATTCAAGACAATGATTGTAATGTTGCCAAATCACCACTATAATAAGAGTTCAAAATGTCCGGTATTTCTGTATTCATCTTTCAGAACAACATATGGATTCTTTAGACATTCAGAATAGGGAAAAAATGCATACTGAGGGAAAATAGAGCCACTCTACAAATTATTACTAACCCAAACAAAGTGGGGAACAAAGGGCCTTCTATGCCTTCAGAGAAGGGCTAAGGATTTCTAAAATAATTATTATAATAATATTATTATTATTATTATTATTATACTATTATTTTCAATGATGTTCTGATTTAATCTCTTCAGTTTTTGTTGGAAAGGAAAGGGTTAACACTGAAGACAAAATAATATAAAATCAGGATTTTTCTTTGCTGGTCTCTGGGGAGATAAATCTAGCTAACTATGTCAGCCATTGGCTAGGCCATCAGAAGCTAGATAAAGGCATCTGTCATTAGGGCAACATTTGGGAGTGACAGTGGAATCAACCAATCACATTTTGACTTAATGGGTGGGACCGTTTTTACAAAACTTATGGAAACTTCTGCCTTCTTGAAGGCCAACAGATCACTGCGCAATAGCGAGCAGTAGTTTTCCCATGGTCTAGCTAGCTAGCTTTAGTTGTCGGCTAGTTTGCAGTGGCTGCAGCAGGAGTTATCAAAGAGGATATTGTTGCTAATTTGTTAGCTTCTCCCTTTTCATGAATAACTTTCAACAAGAAGTTAAGTTTCAAATGATCATCATCTGGTGAGTGGAACTGTGTTTTTTACTGCAGCATGCTTGCTGTTGTTAGCCATCTCTTTGAAACGAACTTATGTGTATGAAACATTGTTGCATTTAAAGTGGAACTGACAACATTTTAGCAACATGAAATCTTATTAAAATCTGTTCATATACACCCCCAGGAAGAATATTACACTTTTAAAAAAAACATTTCTGACAAGCGACCACTTAGATATGGTCATTTTCAAATTTTCACAAATTCTTAGAATGTTTGAGAATTATGTATGCTAAGGCATTTGTGAAAATGTTATAGCAATATAGAGTGGGAAAGCGGCCATGCATTTCGACAATTAATAGACACTGCAATCAATAAAACCGAATACTAACATATGTCTTGTCCAGGACCGGAGTCTACACAGACCTGTGCTCTATAGCCAATCAGAGCTACAGTAGGCCTTCATACAAACAAGCCATTTGCCACACGGGCCTGCCATCATTCACTTTGAACTTGACTGTGTGTTTACAGGCAGTTGCAACAGCGCAACTTTAGATCATTAGAACGCATTCGCCAAAAGCCAAAAAAATACACCTGAATGGATTTCTGCAAATATGTCAACACCACGGGAGTCCTCTTACATTTGGGAACTTTACAGTCCTATTGAACAAACAACCATGAAAAGGTAGGCTCTGCACATCAACAACAACAAGATCAACAACTAATGCTAGCCAGAGCAAGATGAGCTAAAATCTAACAAAGGAACATTGGATAAACCCTCTCAAACTTTTTCAGCCAGTTGGCCATCAAAATTGCACTGATAAACGATGGGGAATTGTAGCTCCTCGTCCTTCTGCAGCTTGCCTGCCAATGTATGCTTGTCCCAATCAAGCACCCAAGCTAACTGGCTAAAGTTGGCTAGCTTGCTAGCTAGCTACTTCCAGACACAAATGAGAGAACACCTCACTGACCATTTTACTCGCCCTAACAGAGCTGGTTGGGCTGTTTACATGTTATCTAGAGCATTCTTGACTAACTATAATTTTTTTTGCCTACGTTTACTGACACTGGTCATATTCAGCGGGTGTTGCGTATTCGTAAATTCATCAGTTGTTCTGCGCTCTGGCACATTTAGACGAGAGTGCTCTGAAATTGGAGTAGATAGCCAGAGTGAAATTGCGAACGCAAGAGATATGCTAACTGGATAACAGTTGTTTAAGTTCTTGCTAGCTAACCAAATTACACCTGCATCTCTAGCTGTGTATAGCCACCGAAAAAAGATATGAAGGGAAAAAGTCAGTCACTCACTTGTGATCATTGCCCTTGCTAGTTTGATTTTATTGACATTCCCAGCCTTAGTTACATTCATCCGTTTTTGTCCAGAATATTGTATAATTGAAACTGAAACAGTGCATCCCGAATGGGGGCAGCTAACAATGTACCAGGCCAGCTGTGATTTACAACCTGATAGCAATATTTTTTGGACTATTGAATTATATTAATCATGCGTTGAACTGCATCCATCTACTCTGCCAACAATTCCTTAGTGTACGTCATGGAACATGGAATCAAATATAACCTATTTTTAAAACCTCTTATAAAGGTGGTTTTGTAGCATAAATTGGGAATTTGATATTTTTGATTGATATCATGATTGTCTGTTTGTTTCATATCTGCAAAGTAGTTAAAACGCTGTCAGTTCCACTTTAAACTTTAGGTCACTGGTTACTTTATGTGCTAAACGTGAAATGTTGTACATTTCGATTGGGAAATGCTTAATGGTTGTGTTTTTGTATTCTTATGATTGGTACCTACTGGCTTATTATGTCCGAGTTTATGGACTGCTTATCCTTTAACATCATGCTGTGTGACTGCTGTCTTTCCATCAGCCCTATGCAGTGGAGTGGTGCCTGGATAGGTGGGTATACTCTAATTTTGCCAAAGATTTTGTCATCTTTATTGATTTATCAAAAGCATTTGATTTAGCTGAACATTCTATCATACTAGGAAAACTTCAAAACATTGGTTTCACTAATAGATCACCAAACTGGTTCCATGCATATTTTAGCAATAGAAAAATATGTGTTTCATATAAGGACACAAATCACATCTTCTTTGACTCAGTAGAGGAGTACCTCAAGGTTCAGTATTCTTTTCTCTATATTCATAAATGAATTGCCTCCAATTTGTCAGAATACACATGTTCACTTAGACACTGATGATACAATGCTCTATATATCAGGTTAAAATATTTTGCAGATACAAGAAACTCTCCAAGTTGATTTTAACGTTTACAAAAATGGTTTCTAGCAAATATTTTGTTTTAAATCAAACAAAGTCCTATTCCATGCTGTTTGGTACACGGCAAAGAATAAACTAATTCCAGCATTACCACAAAAATGGAAGAGGCAAGTGGAAGGGGGAGAAAGTAAGGAACTTGTCTGTCGGCCCTGCAAGACCAAAATTGGTTAAAGAAGATTGTGATAAATAAAAAGGTTCATTTAAGGACCAGAATATTGACAGCTGTGCCATATATAGTGCATTCGGAAAGTATTCAGACCCCTCGACTTGTTCCACATTTTCTTACGTTACAGCCTTATTCTAAAATTGATGAAATTGTTATTTTTCCTCATCAACCTACACACAATACCCCATGACTAAGCAAAAACTGGTTTTTAGACATTTTTGCAAATTTATTTAAAAAAGATAACAATAATGTAATATCACATTTACATAAGTATTCAGACCCTTTACTCAGTACTTAGTTGAAGCACCTTTGGCAGCGATTACACTCAAGTCTTCTTGGGTATGACGCTACAAGCTTGGCACACCTGTATTTGGGGAGTTTCTTCCATTCTTCTCTGCAGATCCTCTCAAGCTCTGTCAGGTTGGATGGGGAGCATCGCTGCACAGCTATTTTCAGGTCTCTCCAGAGATGTTAGATCAGGTTCAAGTTCGGGCTCTGGCTGGGCCACTCAAAGACATTCAGAGACTTGTCCCGAAGACACTCTGAGCGTTGTCTTGGCTGTGTGCTTAGGGTCGTTGTCCTGTTGGAAGGTGAACCTTCGCCCCAGTCTGAGGTCCTAGGTTCTCTGGAGCAGGTTTTCCTCAAGGATCTCTCTGTACTTTGCTCCGTTCATCTTTCCGTCTATCCTGACTAGTCTCCCATTCCCTGCCGCTGAAAAACATCCCCACAGCATGATGCTGCCACCACCATACTTCACTGTAGGGATGGTGCCAGGTTTCCTCCAGACGTGACGCTTGGCATTCAGGCCAAAGAGTTCAATCTTGGTTTCATCAGACCAGAGAATCTTGTTTCTCATGGTCTGAGAGTCCTTTAGGTGCCTTTTGGCAAACTCCAAGCGGGCTGCCATGTGCCTTTTACTGAGTGGCTTCCGTCTGGCCACTCTATTATAAAGGCCTTATTGGTGGAGTGCTGCAGAGATGGTTGTCCTTCTGGAAGATTCGCTCTGTCAGAGTGACCATCGGGTTCTTGGTCACCTCCCTGACCAAGGCCCTTCTCCCCCGATTGCTCAGTTTGGCCGGGCGGCCAGCTCTAGGAAGAGTCTTGGTGGTTCCAAACTTCTTCCATTTAAGAATGATGGAGGCCGCTGTGTTCTTGGGGACCTTCAATGCTGCAGACATTTTTTTCTACCCTTCCCCAGATCTGTGCCTTGACACAATCCTGTCTTGGTGCTCTACGGACAATTCCTTCGACCTCATGGCTTGGTTTTTTCTCTGACAAATGTGGGACCTTATTTACACAGATGTGTGCCTTTCTAAAACATCAAGTTATAGAAACATCTCAAGGATGATCAATGGAAACAGGATGCACCTGAGCTCAATTTCAAGTCTCAAGGTATTTCAGTTTTATTTGTAATTTTTTAATTTGCCAAACATTTCTAAAAACCTGTTTTTGTTTTGTCATTATGGGGTATTGTGTGTAGGTTGATGGGGGGAAAAAGTAATTTAATCCACTTTAGAATAAGGCTGTAGCATAACAAAATGATGAATCAAGAGATTTCATCCTGCAAATTTTTTCATGAATAAAATAAATAATCATGGTATGAAATTATTTTTATTTTCAAATACAATCTCTTGTGGTCAATTGGCAGTGTACCATCCGCTTTGACAAATATCGTCCCGTGGCTGAATCTAGTTGCCTACCTCTGCTCTAGATCCTACCCCGCTTACCCCTATGCAAATAAAAGATGACTGGTCATTGGTCAGAATAATCAGATCAGATTGTGATGTCATGTTGTGGACCAAAAACGTCATCCCACCTGAACAGACTGAAATTGCAGGCTATGTCCCTGCACAGGCCTCCTTTCGAAGCAAGCAGCTGGATGGAGGGCTAACTTGTCCCTAGAAGGGCACATCACGTCATGCCAGCCTTTTTTCGCTATACTCGACTTGAACTGGTTGAGTCACTGATGTGATATTCCTGTCCAGTTTTGTACCCCCTCAGGCTTGTGCAAATCGGGGAGATCTTTGTGGGCTATACTCAGCCTTGTCTCAGGGTAGTAAGTTAGGTCTGTTGATATCCCTTTGGTGGTGTGGGGGCTGTGCTTTGGCAAAGTGGGTGGGGTTATATCCTGCCCAGTTGGCCCCTTCCGGGGGTAAATTTGGACAGGGCAACAATGTCCCCTGATCCCCCGTCTCAGTCCCCAGTATCTATGCTGCAATAGTCTATGTGTCGGGGGGCTAGGGTCAGTCTGTGTGATCTCAAATTCTCATGTCCTGTCTGGTGTCCTGTGTGATCTTAGGCATGCTCCCTCTAATTCTCCTCTGTCTCTTTCTTTTTCTCTCTCCTGGAAGAACCTGAACCATAGAACCATGCCTCCGGACTACCTGGCCTGACGACTCCTGGCTGTCCCTGTCCCAGTCCTTCCGGTCGTGCTGCCGATCCAGTTCTGCCTCCGGCTATGGAACCCTGACCTGTTTCACCGGACGTGCTACCTTGTCCCGGACCTGCTGCTTCGACTCTCTCTCTCTCTCACTCACTCACTCACTCACTCACTCACTCACTCACTCACTCACTCACTCACTCACTCACTCACTCACTCACTCACTGAATGAATGAATGCTCGGCTATGAAAAGCCAACTGACATTTCACCTGAGTTGTTGAACTGTTGAATCCTCTATAACCACTGTGGTTATTATTTGACCCTGCTGGTCATCTATGAACGTTTAAACATCTTGAAGAACAAGCTGGCCTTAATGGCCATGTACTCTTAAAGCCTACACCCGGCACAGCCAGAAGAGTACTGGCAACCACTCGGAGCCTGGTTCCTCTCTAGGTTTCTTTCTAGGTTGTTTTTCCTAGCCACTATTCTTCTGCATTGCTTGCTCTTTGGGGGTTTAGGCTGGGTATATCTGTATAACAATTTTTTGGCAACTGCTGATGTAAAAAGGGCTTTATAAAATACATTTGATTGAATTTGATTGACTTCAACAGAACCACTCTCATCATACTGTGATGTAACTAATTCAGTGGATGCTGATGTCCCTTTAAATCATGGCTGAAATGCTATTAACCCAACCCACCCTCCGATTTCTCCCTCCCCACCAGCCTCCAATGAAATAATGAGATTATCCTTTAACATGGCAGAGGTCTTGCTCCTCCTCACCTGTAGGCATTGTAGAGGTTGCGCTTCTCGTTAATGCCCAGGCAGCGCCCTCTGCTGCAGGGGAGTGTGAAGTTGCGGGCGGGAAACTCCATGACGCAGTCAGAGGGGTAGCAGGGGGCCTCCTCTGTGCTGGCGTCGTCCAGGTCTGTTACTTTGAGCTCCCCCGCCACCAGGACAAACTGGCGAGGCCTGAAGTCCAGCAGGGTGACAGAGCCCAGAGGGGAGTGGGCCAGGTAGTGGAGCAGACGCACCAGACTCAGACAGATCTACAGCAGAGAGAGAGAGAGAGAGAGAGAGAGAGAGAGAGATGTTTACTGTTAATTTCTGATAGTTTATTTCACTTTTGTTTATTTATTTTCACTTGCTTTGGTCATGTAAACATATGTTTCCCATGCCAATAAAGCCCCTTTGAATTGAGTTCAGTTGAATTAAGAGAGAGAGAATGGTGGCTCCATATCAAAATCTGTTCAGGGTACATGAATCTACTTCTGTGCCAAATGTGGAGCCCTTATCTTAAACAGTCCAGTTAGAGTATCCGCCCTGAAATTGGAAGGTTGGAAGGGTTTTAGTGTAATTCTGTAGCAGATAAGAGTATTGACAGTGGAGATGAGTCAGTCTGTCACTATTTCCCTGATTCCATCTCTCTATTCCATCTCTTTTCCATTGCATTGTTCTCTTTTCCACTGCATTGTTCTCTTTGGGGTTGACTGGGAGCAACCCCCCCCCCCATTTCCTCTTTGAACACTCATAAATCCCTGAGAGAACTACTTGAGTGTTGGTGTTTATGTGTATGCGTGTGTCCCTCTCCCATTGTGTGTGTCAAGGGGTCGAGGGTAAGGGCTGAGAGGGGCAAGAGGAAGCGTGAAAGGGGCTAGAGAACACGTGAAAGGGGGAACAGACACCTATAGTACACAGACTATAAACCAAACATCTACGTTCCCAAGAGTAGAGAGTGGGAGTGAGACAGAGAGAGAAAGGAGGAGAGGAGGAGGTGCTGAACAGCTCATTTCTTTTCAAGCGAGACAAAAGCTGTTTTTAATGTACTGTGGATTAAGAGTGAGTGGGAGAGGTCAGACACAGAGCACTGAGGCGTGAGTTAGGGCCTGGAGTCTCTTTCTTATCCTAGTGAAGTGAGAGTAGTGCTGGAGGAATGCAATACTATGTCATACTATGCTTAAATGGGCAATCTACAGTTGCTACATCAATTTTTTAACTTATAAATTAATGATATGTACCCATTTATTCTTGAAAAATATACAGTACCAGTCAAAAGTCTGGACACACCTACTCCTTCAAGGGTTTTTCTTTATTTTTACTATTTTCTACATTGTAGAATAATAGCGAAGACATCAAAACTATGAAATAACACATATGGAATCACATAGTAACCAAAAAAAGTGTTAAACAAATCAAAATATATTTTATATTTGAGATTCTTCAAATAGCCACCCTTTGCCTTGATGACAGATTTGTTTAACACTTTTTTGGTTACTACATGATTCCATATGTGTTATTTCATAGTGTTGATGTCTTCACTATTATTCTACAATGTAAAAAATAGTACAAATAAAGAAAAATCTTGAATGAGTAGGTGTGTCCAAACTTTTGACTGGTAGTGTAACTCATAAATTCCTTATGAGCTTAGTTCAGCTGTAGTAACCCAACAGAACCCAAATATAAACAAAGTAAATATTTTTTGAAACACTGTACAGCCTCAAAACATCGTAAAAACTATAAGGTTGATATCATGGATGGTCAGTCCTTTCATCCATAGCTCTGTCTATGAATTTGAGAGTGGTTACATTTCTCCAGCCCCATCCCTCAGCTTTTTACTGAAACAGTGGCGGGGAATTAGCTTTGTTGTTGTTTCAACTGCTGATTGCCCCTGTAAATGCTGGGTCATTTTTTTGATTGATTTGATTGATAGCCATAGGTTTTTAAAGTACCCTAACTATTCTGTCATTCTATTTGACCATACTGCGTATTGTAAATATGCAATACAGGTTTGATTGAATGTATCTATAATTTATAATTTCCATAAATGTAAATGTAAATGAGCCTGACGTGAAGGTTGACAGACAGACTGGAGGGAGGGTTTGAAGGGGATATGGGTGTGTCTCTCACTGACAGGGGCTGCAGGCCAGGGCCATCAAAGCCTTTGTCAACGCTCACAGGAAATGGTTACAGACCTAAATGGAGCATTTCAAATTCAGTGGGTTTACAGCGCGCCTCCCTAGAGTCTATTAATGCCTCATACGAATTGCAAATGCTCAGAGAAAAAGCATATTTTTCTTTCATTTCACACTCCACATTTCAAGGGAAGGATCTTGGGTGAGAAGGGAGGGAGACCTGACGCTTATGTTGTGGGGAAACAAAGGAGCAACCAAAAAACAGCACAGACTGATGCTGCATGAACACACACAGCACAGACTGATGCTGCATGAACAGACACAGCACACACTGATGCTGCATGAACACACACAGCACAGACTGATGCTGCATGAACACACACAGCACAGACTGATGCTGCATGAACACACAGCACACACTGATGCTGCATGAACACACACAGCACACACTGATGCTGCATGAAGACACACAGCACACCCTGATGCTGCATGAACACACACAGCACACACTGATGCTGCATGAACACACACAGCACACACTGATGCTGCATGAACACACACAGCACACACTGATGCTGCATGAACACACACAGCACAGAGTGATGCTGCATGAACACACACAGCACAGACTGATGCTGCATGAACACACACAGCACACACTGATGCTGCATGAACACACACAGCACACACTGATGCTGCATAAACACACACAGCACACACTGATGCTGCATGAACACACACAGCACAGACTGATGCTGCATGAACACACACAGCACACACTGATGCAGCATGAACACACACAGCACACACTGATGCTGCATGAACACACACAGCACAGACTGATGCTGCATGAAGGCCCAGGACATCAAAGTGGAAAGTTACCTCAATCTATTTATTTACCAGATGGCTGATGTCAGTGGCGGTCGGTGCCTTTTAAGATGAGCATGTACTTATTTCTATTAGCTACAGCATATTGGATGACTGTTATTCATATTCCATTCAACCAGCTCAACGTAACATCGATAGGTTTAGGCTACTACATGATACTCAAATTTTCCCTATACCCATCATGAGGTTGCTACAACCTATCAGGTTGAGATAAAAATTTGAGTAAGGTGACAGACAGTGACACATTCAATACCACCTTGCATACTCTTGCCTGCATCTAGATGATCTAGGGTGTGTAATGATTTGTCCAAAAGTTGCAAACAAGAGTTTCTATTGGACAAATTCAGGTATGTTTATCCCCGTTTTGTTCTGTTTGCTTCCATTTAAGAAATGTTTTTTCAAAGAAATAGGCGGAATAAATACACCCCTGATCATCCGCAAACGCAGTTCACTTTCATAGAAACCTTTCCACGCCAAACCTTCATAACACTTACAAACACCATAATCACTTTGCTCATTATATAATTCCTTCTTGCATCTACGCACTCTCCTCATCTCACCTTTTCCCTTCGCTTGTGGACTTCAGTGCACAACACAAAAGCTGTCTGTGACCAGGCAAAAAAAAAATTCCAAGCCAAACCTTCATACCATAACCTAACTGCTACACACAGCCTACATCGTTGTCAGCATATTAGCTAACATTATAGTCAACATAGCTACTATAACTAACGCATTAGTAAACTCGCTACAACCGTGCTGTACAGTGTCTAGCAAGCAGTTTAGCAGTTACACCGGCAGGGCCTGGTGGCAATAAATTAATAAAATCAAAAGCTTACCATGACTTGGAAGAGTTCCAGCGTTGGATAGCCATAGCCAGCTAGCTAACATAGCATCACTCTCTGTTTGAGCTGGGTGTTTGAGTAGGCTAAACTAGCTAGCTGCATTCGCTAGCTAAGTAAGTGAAATTGAAAGTGAAAAAATACCAAATATAACTCTCTCTCTCTCTCTCTCTCTTGCTTCTCCTTCATTTTTGAATAAATTCATTCATTCAAAACTGTTCAACTATTGTCTTTCGCTCTCTTTGAGTCAACTACTCACCACATGTTATGCACTCCAATGCTAGCTAGCTGTAGATTATGCTTTCAGTACTAGATTCATTCTTTGATCCTTTGATTGGGTGGACAACATGTCAGTTCATGCTGCAAGAGCTCTGATAGGTTGGAGGACGTCCTCCGGAAGTTGTCATAATTACTGTGTAAGTCTATGGAAGGGGGTGAAAACCATGAGCCTCCTAGGTTTTGTATTGAAGTCAATGTTCCCAGAGGACGGAAACTAGCTGTCCTCCGGCTATACCATGGTGCTACCCCAGAGAATGCTGTTGAGGCTACTGTAGACCTTCATTGCGAAACAGATTGTTTTAATCAATTATTTGGTGCCGTGAATATATTTAGTATAGTTCTATCTAAAAAGGATAACTTTTTTAATGTTTCACTATTTTTATATTTATCAAATTTACTGAGGAGGATGGTCCTCCCCTTCCTCCTCTGATGAGCCTCCACTGGCTGATGTATTTTGTGTGGCTAACTACACTTTGAAGCTCCGTGAGGGAGCTCTGACTTTGGTTAAAGGCCGCCTCTCCATGACAAATACAGTGTTGATTAAGGGATTAAACAAATGATGCTTTAGGAGGTCATAGACTAGTGTGATGACATGTAGATAGGCATAGTGTGTAGTGTTATAAATGACAGTGATCACACATCCAAGGACGCGTTGAGCTGTGCATGTGTCAATGGTTACACTGGGAACTCTTTAACTAACTACCCCATGCCCAATTCCCAACCTGCCCCTAGCCCCTACACCCTAACCCCTACCCCCCAGGCACTTCTACACATCTGAAATGATTCTATAGATGTAAATTATATTAAAGCTCAAGGCACTTAAGGAAGCCCAAGGCCTATCAGAGGGCATTGTGAAGCTATTACTATGTTTTTTTTTTATATATATATATATATCTATCCATTCCTTTTCTGATCCATATGTGCCTATAGCTATAGGTTGATTTGAAATTTGATAACAATCTCAAATTAGATTTCCCACCCTGTATTCATCATCACAAAACATTTGTGTTGAAGGATCTCTCAGTAGAAGAGCTGACTGTCTCAGTGAATCTCCTCCAGTCTTGCCAGTGAGGAAAGGAAGAAAGGGAAAAAGGAAGAAAAGGAAGGAGGGGAGAGAGAGAAAAGAGGAAGAGAGCACTTGCTGGTGATTTCATGCACCGAAGCTCTTTCATCCTCTGTGCGGCAGGCGGGTGGGCACTCCCCAGCCACAGGAAGCAATAGGAAATAATTAGATTGTGGCTCTGTGGTGATAGTGATCGGCAGACCCGGCCCAGAGGCCCCAGCGGCCCAGTGGCACACAGGTCCATGCTACCCAGCTAGGGAGGCAGGAAACTGGGCAAGAGAAGGGCTCTGGCTCTGGAAATACCATCCGCTATACCAGTAGTGTCCCTATAAACCAGGTTAACCAAGCTCATGCTTCAGCCAATTCGCTCTACACTCTGAGACAGCCTGTAATGGGTTTGAGTCACAGGGGGCTCAGTAAGGCCTTAGTATCCACTTATGCATGTGATCCACCCTCAGTCCCTCAGTAAACCCAACCAGCATTCAGCCTATTCTGCTGACTCATACATGTTGCACTCTGTTCAGTGAGAGAGAGAAAATCACAAGACGTTCACAAGATAGTGATAATGTCAATGTAGCATTCGATTAAAACACTGTTGTAAGTAGTGCTTTAAGTGAGGGTCTGTGTTTAAGTGAAATGTGTGTGTGTTGTCCACCAACACTCACCCTGAAGCGTTCCTCCCAGGAGGTCTGCAGTAGTTGGATCATCTCCAGAGGACTTCCCAGCTCTGTGATGGCAGTCACCGTGTCCTGGATGTCATTGCTTTCCTGGTAGCAGTACCCATACAACTGGAGGGGACACAGAGAAACACTGGTTCTTCATCTTATACACACGATATACACTGAGTGTACAAAACATTAGGAACACCTTCCTAATTTTGAGTTGCACCCTGTTTTGCCTTCAGAACAGCCTGTCATCGACTCTACAAGGTGTCGAAAGCATTCCACAGGGATGCTGGCCCAAGTTGACTCCAATGCTTCCCACAGTTGTGTCAAGTTTGTTGGATGTCCTTTCGGTGGTGGACCATTCTAGATACACACGGGAAACTGTTGAGCATGAAAAACCCAGCAGCATTGCAGTTCTTGACACACTCAAACCGGTGCACCTGGCACCTACTACTATACCCCGTTCAAAGGTACTTAAATATTTTTTCTTGCCCATTCACCCTCTGAATGGCACACATACACAATCCATGTCTCAATTGTTTCAAGGCTTAAAAATCCTTCTTTAACCTGCTTCCTCCCCTTCATCTACACTGATTGAAGTGGATTTAACAAGTGACATCAATAAGGGAGCATAGCTTTCACCTGGATTCAACTGATCAGTCTATGTCATCATGAAAAGAGAAGGTGTTCCTAATGTTTTGTACACTGTGTAAATCTGAGCGGTCAATGACAAACAATCTCAATCAGAAGATTGAATTACTGTTGTTGGTTGCATGCATTCTGATGTTTTTAAATGAAAATGCAATGAGACATGCGAGAGCGTTGGTACTCATTAATGTTTATTTGGGTCGATTGTAGTAGTTTACTCTCCTCTTTGTTACTATGGTAAGTGCCTCCTAGAGATGCTGGTCCTTTGCTTGCAGAAACATTTGTGTAAGATAATTTGTGCCAGAAGAACTAGTTAAAATAAGTGGGCATGAAATTAAATCTAAAAGCATAACAACCAATATCGCTGTCAACCATACCACCAGGGAAAACACTGACTATGCAAAACAGAGAAGGTGGCATTGCATGTTGTTTTTAGGTTAATAAAGGCTTTACAAGTTAATAATGTGAGAATGTAGCATGTCTGAGAGTAAAGTAGTAGAGGCTTCATACTCTCTGAGGCTGACTACTGTTTGTCAGCAGTTTGGGTGTGTCTGTGAAGAGTGATGCAGAGACATTTATAGCAGTGGTGTGTGATGGGAAATGTGAGGTGCCCAGTGGGTGCCAACCTTGTGGGAGGAGAGGAGGGGCCTGTGGGCAAGGCTGGCAGAGTGCCCCCTCACCCCACCACTGGGTGCGGCATGAGAAACACATGAAGAAGACTGCACTTATAGAGCTTTAATCAGGCCTTCAGGATAAGTTCAATTCAACATGTTCCTTGTGCAGTGAGAATGCATGTATGAATTGAGTTCAGTTGAGTTGAGTTTTCGAGTGTTGTATAGTCGCTTTATTTCTCTCTGTAAAAATTGTTCTGTTGAGTACGTGAATCCAAAGCGCATTTTTGCAGCAAAAGAATAATGTTTTTTTTTTTATATAGGGTCATCAATACAGAACTAACACCTTTTTTTGGAGTAAGTGTGCATCATTAGTGTGTGTGTGTGTGTGTGTGTGTGTGTGTGTGTGTGTGTGTGTGTGTGTGTGTGTGTGTGTGTGTGTGTGTGTGTGTGTGTGTGTGTGTGTGTGTGTGTGTGTGTGTGTGTGTGTGTGTGTGTGTGTGTGTGTGTGTGTGTGTGCGTGCGGACGCGTGCATGTGTGTGAGATTGCCCTTGGCAATGCCAGAGAAGCTTTCCCAGGGGTGGGAGTGTACGGAAAGTTTTGTTATCTGAGATTGAATTCACAGTAATGACTATTATCATCACACACCATCTCCAGGTTGTGTGTATGCACCATGTCTGCAGCCAGTGCTGCAGTTGTTGGTATTGTGTGCAGCGGAGGCATTCTTGTGCGAACACGACTGCATCAGGGCAGTGTTTTCCCTCCATGGCAGACTAGACTCATCGGCAGCTAAGGCTGCTGGGGAGTGAGATAGCAGCTGTACGCATGCTGGGGCAGTGTTTGTGTTTGCTCTGAATCTGGTGCCATTTTGTCTGACTGGGGTTCAGAGGTCACTCACCTCGGTGGTTTGTTAATGTCTTTTTACTGAGAAAGGCATGACATCATTTAAATGTTTCAGAGAAATGTTTATCTGTGCAAATGTATTTATATATTTTAGCAACAGGATTCTGAACAGTTCTGTTGTGAGTTCTGTTGTGAGTGTTGTTCTGAGTTCAGAATCTATGGTGCTATTCTGAGTTCAGGTTTTGATATGTCTCTGTTTCGTCTGGACATAGAGGTTTATCTAAGTGCATCTTTGGATGGGTGTATATAGAGTATGAGAGAGCGTGGCCTTAGTGTAAAGGCTGAGAAACTCTGAGGTGAGGTAAGTGTGAAAAGGCAGGCACATTAGGAACCAAGCCTAGTAGGCCAATCCCCTGGCAGTTCACCCCTTTCCTGGCCAGAGGCAGGAGTGAGTCAGCATGCCATAGCACGGCATGGCCTCACCAGGAACAGAGAGGGGACAGAGGGCCAGGGCCACAGACACAACTGGCCAGTTGGCTGTACACACAAGAAGTGAGTTGAAGGAAGGAAGGTCTCTCTATTCTTACTAAACTAAATGTAGGGTAGTGGGAATGTGCATTTCAACTGAGACCGGTTAATAATGCTGAGAGTTGAAGATGGACAAAGAGAATGAATCCATGCAGGTTCTGCTTGAGGTGAGGCCGGGTAGCCGGGTGGCAGTCAGAGTGAGATGGGTATAGCAGCCAAGAGGGGCTGCTGATGCTGGAACAGTTGCCCTGCTCGAGAAGCAGACGAAATAGTCAAGAACATATGCTATGCGCGTCATAATATGCCAACGCACCAGTGCTCCACAAAAGCATTTCTGTGTGGGACATTATTAATGTGTAAATAAACGCGGGGGTCGGCAGGGTAGTTAACCCAGTCACCACACTCTCTTTAACGAAGGCCTCCTGGCCCCCGATCAAACCGGCCCCGGGGTGGACATGTTTGTCCAGAGATGAAATCCCCAGCATCTGCCAGAGCCCAGAGCACACTGCTGCTCTTCTGTTGGACAGGGTCACAGCAGGACTGAGTGTCAGTCAAACAAGAACACCTCTATCATACCAACCAGATTCTCTCTGGATCACTGCTATGGACTGGGTGGGGACTTACTGTAAGCCCAGAGGAGGTAAGCCCAATAAAAAAGTAGAGCTTTTAATTTCACTCACAAATCAGGTATTAAGTAACATACTTTGAACTATTATTCATGAAATTTTATGAAATGCATGTTTGAAGTGAATTCATGTACAGTGTATGGGTTTAACTTAGTGCTCCTGTGTGTAAGCATGTGTGTGTGTGTGTGTGTGTGTGTGTGTGTGCGTGCGTGCGTGCGTGCGTGCGTGCGTGCGTGTCCGTTGTGTGTGTGTATCGAATGACATTAATGGTTGAATTTGGTATGCCTTGTTTTAATCAGACACTTGGACCAAGTGCAACTGGCAGAAAACCCTCTGTCATTTTCCTTTTCCATGTGAATTGATCCTAGTACATTAGATGGATTTGAGTCTCATAATGCATTAAATAGAGGAGGGTGAAATTGTTTAAACCGTAAGTTTGGGTGCATAAAGGGGTTTAAAAGTTTTGAGTTTCGATGATTACACACTCCGTTTATTACATAGTCTGGGAGCGAGCGTTCAGGTAGAAAAATATGTATGACTGCTAACTTAGTGCTTTTTGGATGACTGTAAAATGTACAGAATTATTGTTTTTGCTGAATTTGGTGCCTTACATCTCAACGAAATAGGGAAGGAAGCATATGGAAACAGAAACAAGTTTGTTGAGTTAGAACTCTCATCAACTTGTTTTCTCCAACCGCTCAGTAAAATAAACAACATTTCAAACTGTGTCGGGGGAGAGGGCTGCACACAAGTTTTGCAGAAATAATTTACTCCAATACTCTGGAGTGATATTCATCTTCTCATTTCCTCCTTAAACACATCACAGGGTTTCTCCAGGCTCAAATCAATACCAACCTGACATTCAGATTACCAGTTAACAGGACCTGAGCATGTTCTCAGAGTGAAATAAAAGGAAGAAGTTACAGAGCTTTAACTAATGCAAATGATGTGGGAGACTCGCTGGCCCTATCAAATAATGTTTCACAAAAATCTAACTTTATCCGATCAAATAATTGTTAATGTTTTTCTATTAAAACTGGGATTTTTTATGTTCTGTGAGCACATGCACAACAGCCCATATTCAACTTCAAAATGGTACTTTCCTTGACTTTCTTTATCTATTACTTAGAAGTGATGACATGCATGTATTGTATATTCTTGGAAAGTTTCAGAGCAAGAAGAGCAGCAGAAATGACCTATGTTTATGTGGTGAGGGCCTGGGGTTCTGGGGGTCATGAGGGCACCCTTCTCTCCCTGCAGAGTGTGGGGGCTGCAGAGCCCCAATAGACCCAGGGTAGGGGTTGATCAGAAACAGGGCTGAGGGCTTAGAGAGGCAGGGCAGGCCTGGGACCACATTTCTCTGGCATTCTCTTTTTTCCCCCAGCTTCCTTCCCGTGGAAGTCGGAGGTTAAAGTGTTAACCCTGGCTTAATTGCAACTCTGTCTCCAGTCCCCTCATCGTCAAACTGACCCCAAGGCCCACAGACACCCAGCTTTCACATTAACACAACCTGGTTACTGATTCTCCAACTAATGGAGGAGATCTACTGAGCAGGCCCTGGGGGAGAGAGGGAGAGGCTGGCAGAATGACACGCTTGTGTAAACATCATCCAACTCCACAGCCAGAAACAGGCCCAGACTCCGGCAGCAGCCCAGAGGTCCCACCACTCTCAGATCATCTGTATCCACCACATACACTTTCTCTGAAGGGTGACCCTTAACCTTCCACGTCCCTCTCATTTTACATTAATGTCATTATGTAGACACTCTTATCCAGAGGGACTTACAGAAGTGAGTGCATACATGTTCATACTTTTTTTTTCATACTGGTCCGCCGTGGGAATCGAACCCACAACCATGGTGTTGCAAGCGTCATGCTCTACCAACTGAGCCACATTCCCTCCATCCCACACACAGTCAGCCCCCAAGCAGGCAAGCAGCCCCTCTTGTTATCTCCTTCACTGATCAGCTCAAATTCATATTGTTCACACTCGTTCTAACATGGATGAGGGCAGAGAAAGGTGGACCGCGCCTGCCGTGCGTGCTGGTGTGAAAACATGTGTCCACAATCCACCTCGACCTCTCAGTCAGTCGCCCACTTCTCCTCTTCTCTCCACAGGAGCGTACCCCATCTATCCTGGACAAGCAGTATCAGTCAACATGGCTATTGACACCAAAAGTGTGCTGAGTTAGGAGAACAGTGATGAACTGCTTTGGTTTCTACCTCTGACTCCATTTGTGGTAGTTTAAGGGGTGACTGTCCAATAAGATCCCACTCTCTCCAGTGAGAGAGCACGGGCCTCTGTCGCTCCTCTCATGCTGAGGGACTTGCCAGAGGCAGACACTAACCAGACAGTGTGCTGTTGGCTGTGTTGCCAGGACAGAGCCAGACTTCATCACTCTAACAGGATATATTAGATCAGCAGAGCTGGACATGAAATACTCTTTGGGATGCTAAACATACTAAAACGTTTACTTGCAATCAACCAGTTGTTACTTTGCACAATTTTTGGGTAAATGATGCATTGATGTCAATGGGAGATTTACGTGAAAAATATTGTTATACATACAGATCTCAAGTTATGATTCTAGTAAGTCAAATTAATATCGACCTAAGCCAGCTAAAATAAACATTTGTTTTAGTAATGGAGATATTGCTGTAATTCAGTTTTAAAGTTAATATATTGTTTATTCTTGTGATTTATTCTTTCTATGGCTAGTGGAGCATGTCAGTAAACTTTACCCTAGAAGTCATTCAGGCATTTTTCCTGGTGCACAAAAAAAGTGCATGTATTAGCCTTAAGGCCGGTGTGCTCATGTTCATAGAGGAATGAAAAAGAAATAATATTTTCCCTATGATTAGAGAGAGAAATTCCATACCATTTCCAGTTTATGTTAACATTTTCTAAAGCAATTCCTGTAATCCCTCAATGTAGCTTCCATGCCAGAAAATGAATTTTGTTCGTTTTTATGTTTATCCTGAAATAAATCATCTTGGTATTATTCGCTTATGACAACGATGATAGAGTGGGATAGCCAAAGTGCACTTTCCAGTCACACAAATGCTAGCGTGTACGTGTGTATAGGCCGTGTGTGTGTGTGTGTGTGTGTGTGTGTGTGTGTGTGTGTGTGTGTGTGTGTGTGTGTGTGTGTGTGTGTGTGTGTGTGTGTGTGTGTGTGTGTGTGTGTTACACCGTGATGGACAGAGAAGTCTGAGTGGACACACAAACCAAGATTCCAGTATTACAAAAAAAAACAAATAAATAAAAATAAAAACACACTCCAGTGCTACAGTCAATATTCATGTAAATCTGTACCTATCACAACATGGACTAGTAAGTGAGCGATGAGAGATGGACCGCTACTATATTGGGCTCTACTCCCCCCTGTCTCCACAACAGAACTTCTATAACGAAAATAACTTCCTATTGATGAATAAACCAAGTAAAACATTAGAAACAGTCCAAATGTATTAACATGCTGTAGTAACATGTAGTCCCCTTTTCAATGCAGTTTTCAAAAAAAATAATTCTGGTTAAAGTTATAGCTTGGCCATCAAATTTAAGGAGAGTTTTGAGATGAGTTAATAATGTGAACTATCCCAATTATTGAATGTAAATCAATTGAAAGACACCCAGTTAGTTATACATTTTAAGTCATAGATTAAAATAAGTTACAAAATGTGGCATAGGCCTAACTCCTCATAGCCTTACTAAAGTCTATACATGTCAACAACAACAAAAAATGATTTCTATATTAATGTTGTATTTTAATTCAAGGTTAATGTGGGTTTAACATTGTTTGACAATTATATGTGCTTTACAATAATACAAATTTTATAAGGGTGTGATATTTGTTTTCTTATGTGGAATTTAAATCTTGATAATAATGTAAACTAACTCTAAATTGTCATACTGGGTAAATAACTTTATTATGGGCCAGATATTCCCTTATATCCTAGGCTAGGGTATTGTTCTTAAAATGTTTCTACATTCACCATGTAATCAAAAAGATAAAGGCTGATAGAAGTGATTCAAAATATGTATGACACATTTGGCTTTAACAGATAACTTCCAGTTCGAATGTGCTAACAAAATACTTATGTACAGCAATTCTGATCAAAAGATCACAAACTTATAATATTGTCCTGAAAATGATTTTAGGGAGCATAATTGATTACGTATATTGTATTTTAATAAATGTTCTGTATAGACTATTTGGCTACTGTCTTGGTTCTGTTGTACCATCCTATAAAACAGTAGGTCTATCTTGAAAACATGCCACTTTTTACTTGGTTAAAGTGCAACTATTTGTTTTACCTTAAATTAGCCTACCTAATTTTTATTAGGTTATAATAACCACCCTACACTTTATTTCAAAACAAAACGGCACGTTTTTCTCTGGTTTGATGGCTATTTATCTATGCATCCAGCAACAGTTGCAATGAAGTCATGAAATGCCCTCAACGACGTCGTTTGGATTGCTGTTGTTTGGATATTTTAATTGGGCCTCGTGCGGTGCATATTACAGTAAAGCACAGATTTAGGACTATATGCTGTAGCCTAGAAATGCCACTGTGACCAGTACCTCAAGGCCATATATGTTTTCTCAAGCAGTAGCCTAACATGTGAAACATTAGAAGAACGTTCTTCAAATATAGGCCCTATATTGGAAAATGTGACATGCGTCAGTATAGGCTTGCAACTGTTGTTCTTATGCATAGATCTAGGGATACGTGTACAGGCATAACCATTTGTAGACCTACATTGTTGGCCTATATGGATTATAAATGCTTTATTAGTGTGGATATTGATAAGGCCATTTGCCCTAGGCTACTTCCTCCGTCTGAATTGTAAAATCGTCCTTTACGCATGCATGCATTTATTTTGGTGACGTTATAGACAAGCTGCTTAAAGACGAGCTGTTGATATAACGTAATTAAAATGCCTTCTTTCTTTTTTACAAAAATGTATTATGATTTACCCGCGTATCGGTAGGCTACGCCACAGCTGTTGTGTAAATGCAAATAAATACAAGGTAGAATGCTGCGAAGCCTCGGGCGTCTCACCGCTCACCGGCTCATGCACCATGCAGATCCAGCAAACCGCAGATCAGCTTAAAATCGACAGGGTAACAATGAAGCGATGGCGCTCATTCAACTATAAACTATTAATCAGCCACTAAAAGGACAGCACATCATCCAAATAGCACTATTAATAATAGGCCAACCATGCACTTATTTCATACTGGCTATTTTCTTTTCACTGCACTCTGGTCTGATTTCTCAAGGAATCTCGTGGAAATGGAATACACACCAATTTCCAAAGTGTTCAACCCATGTGTCACTTTTGACACGCTGAGAGTAGAATTAATGTAAAGTTTCACATCTATGGTTATTCAGTCATTAGGGAAATAATGATTCATGGTTCGCTGTTGGTATAAGGCAAAATGGCAATTCACTTCGATACTGCTAAAGAGCACAAATTGGGTTAAATTTGAAGTAAAACTTAAATGATTTAAAGGGCCACTGCTACAAGTTATAACTAAATTAATGGATTTCCGATAAAGGCCTTTAGGCAATAGACAATAAAAACACAAGGATATGCTACATCTTAAATAGGCCTATGTGTGATACTTGGCCTATAGCTCAATAAATAATTGTGCAACAGAAATGGCTAGAAGACACCGATCTATAATATAAACAATTGTAATCATTCGTCATCAATTTGTTAGCTAGCCTAGATATAGATTACCTTTAGAATGTTGGGGTGCTGTAGCCTTTCCATCAGCGTCATTTCTTTCACTATTTTGAAGGACGCCAGTGTGTAGCAGTCTCCAGGTGATCCATATTTCTTTACGCAATTTTCCATATCGTGTCCCCCGAAATCCACCGATTTCAGAGCCACGGACAAGCTGTTGTTGAGAGACGCCTTGTAGACAGCCTTTGTGTAGCCTGAGCCGAGGTACTGAACATTGGTCACGTTGTCTATGCTGCTGCAGCCAAGCATCAGTGTACCGTTAATGCTCCTCAAATTCATAGTGAAATCTTTCCGTGATGCTGTGTGCATGTATGTGGATGGTTTAAGTCGATTTTGAAAATGCGTCTGTCGGTTATCGGTTCGCTCAATGACTTTGATAGTGTCCCAATTGTCCCCTGGCTCTGAATCCATGAGCCTCCGTCTCTCCAGCGGGCGGACTGGGTCTCCGGTGCCAGACCCATGTGCTTGGCGCCGACGGTACCGCACAACCTCATCAAATCTTTCTCGTATCTGCAGCAAAAGGTCCTGGTGATGCCTGCTTCCTGCGGCAGGTTTACTATTGGACTCGGCCACAACTTCAGTGACTGACTCGCCGACTTGAAGCTGTGAATCGTCTGTAACCTGCTGCTGTTTTTCGTGGTAGTACCGATGTACTCTATGGTCGTGGTTCTGATGGTGCTCAAACCCTGGTATATACAGCAAATTCATCAGTGTACCAAGGAAGAAGGCAAGGCAGAAGCCTGCCGCAACCACAATCTTTCTGCGCTTCATTGTAACCAGTTTTATTAATAACATAAAATATATTTGTCTGTCTTCGCCTCCAGCCCCCGCCTAGCAGTCTACCACCTCTGTAGCGATGCCCAGAGTCCACAGTTCTATCGTGCGCGTCAGAACTTAATGGTATACCGATCCTCGAACGATGCCGAATGCGCTATGATCACGTCTTCATCTTGACTATGATTTATGCAGCCAAGCAGGCTTAAGATCCTCCCCATATAAGGTTGATCATGGTGATACACTTGCCTTCACAGACTGCAAAGCCCACCACTTATGCGCGCATCAGGCAGGGGTCCTCTCTCGTAGCCTACTAGAAGCCCCCCTGAGCGACTAAACAACGGTGACGCCACTGTGATTGACAGCATACGTGTATCATGCACTGTAGTTCTCCAGGCAGTGCATTTCTCATTAGGGTACGTTTTACACAGAAAATCTTAAAACCACACTACCCATTGTGCAATGTGAAAAATCCAGACACTGGACACTGAGTTCCAACAAACCAGCAGCTGTGGGGCGGTGTTTGAGGTTTCTTCGAACTGCCGTTTCGAGTAATGGCACGCGCAAAAGCTGCCCACTGAAGCGAGTGATGAAAGCGCATAAATTGATTGATGGACGTTAATAATAATGTCTACTATAGCTCTTGATGGATTAATATTTTTTTAATTCAATTTTTGAATGGCTTATATGTGTTTTAAATATAGGCTTAATTTAATGTTTGCAAAGCCTTTCTAATAGGGGCCTACGCCTCAATATTTGCCAATAGGTTATGTCATCCATATTATAAATTGTTACCTATCGAGTACATTTTCTGCTGATGGTCAATTGTTACACAACATGAAAAGTAGGTAAGTTGAAATGTTTCCAATGAATAATGAGCATTGCTTTATAAGAGACAACTAAACATTAGAACACAATGTTTTTTAGCAAGTATTGCATTTAGCTAACACTTTTGGATTGTTTTAATCTACAACCTCGGTTTTAAATTGATAGAGAAGTCCAGGCTCCTTGCAGGCTGATGTTCTGCGAGCCCCTCTGTTACTTGGGGAAAAAATCTGTATAATTACGTCTCTGGGGTCGGAGAAGTAAAACTCTAAATTAAAAGCAGACATTACAAAAAAAGGAGTATAAATAATCAAATAATAGGCTCCAATAAGGCTTTGTTAAACTCGGCTGAGATAAGCATTCCTCGAATGGAATCTCATGTTAGCCAGCACCCCCGCCCTCCTAAATAAATCCCGTGGTGTTTGTCTACTGTAAATACACTGTAGCAGTGCCAGCGACGTTAAAAAATGAGCCAGCACCATCACGACCCCTTTTTAGTGGGCCCAAACAGAGAGTTCACCCTGGGGTCTCGCTCTCTATTGTGGTAAACGATGATGAACTTTAAAATAATGTTATTAATAATGCCCTCATTTTTTTTATCGGATTACTTTAATGACAAAATAGTTATTTCTGGTGTTGCAGAGACAAAACCGAGCAGCCTCCGTGGTTTCATTAGGCCCCAAAAATCAGCAGGATGACGCGGCGAGACCGGTCTGAGCCCTGCTGGGGCTCCGGATAGTGTAGACCTGAATGCTAGTGACACGTCTATCCATCAAACCCACATTACCATGCTGTTAGCAACTAATTAACACATACAATCAACCTGGAAACTGAACAAACAAAGCCGAGACAGCGGGGCGCAGCCGCACGGGGGGGGGGTTTCCTCACACTCACACTCCTTTTTATAGCTTTGGTTGATATATATTAGTCTCGGTTTAAATAGGTCAGTAAATATTATTATATTACATAATATTATATTATACTATATTAGCCTATATTATATATTAGGAACAATTGGGCCTTTTTGACAGATTGGTAAGGACCATTTTGGATGGAACTGCAGTGGAGCTGAAGCATTATAGTAACTATATACAACTGTATCCCACACCAAATTGTATCATATATGGAATTGTTATTGTCACTTAAAGACTGTTTTATGTCCAAAAGTGGCATGGGTGTAGAGAAGCTTAGCTTAGGATGATGATAATTATACATTGTGACAATAATAGTGATTTATAATAATAATAATCAAATAATTAACAATTTGTATATTTGGCGTTTCTTTTTCTTTACTTTTACACACAGTGATTGCATTCAATCATTGTTATCTGGTAATATACATGGCTCATTAGAGAATGATTGGTTACACTTATCTAGGCCTATTTAGCAAAGTCATCCTTACATTGTGATGTAAATACATATTAGTTAATATTTAGGCCTACTATTGCAGTCCAACTGTCAACAAGTTTTGACTTGCGCAAGATAGCCTAATCACCATAACGCACAGACACAAAACGCATACAATTCATTTTTGAGTAACAGGAGTGATGTGTAAGTGTAAGGAAATTGTATTTTCCTCATCAGTCGTGCAGTTGTTGCTGTAGTATTTCTGATTCCTTACTACAAGGGTGGAGAGGGCATTTATTTGAATGGCCTAGTTTGGGGCGTAGGCCTACAGCTCTGCGGGTGGGGAGGCTCAGTGCGCCTCAGGGGAGCTACCACGCATTAATCCCACTTAAATAACTTCATTTTCTTGAGGATTTCTGGGGACAATAGCCAAACATAGTATTCTTATAACCACTGTGCTGCGGGGCCTAACCTTTAAGGTTTCCATTTAACCGGCCGTTTACATGAGAATCCTCGCAGAGGGAGTGGTGTTTGGCTGGCTCGGGGGGGGGGGGGTGACGGATTAGGCTGCTGCAGTGCAGGAATGTTTAGCCTTTGCTGTCCCTTTGTGATTGGCGCAACCTATGGCTGCATGTGACTGAGCTAATCCTTTTACGTTCTATTTTCTGAGGGTGATAATTATAGCCTACGCATTGGTTACTGTAAGCCACGCATTAATTAAAATGGTTGACCATTCATTGTGTGCTTAAGTAGGCCTATGTCACCCGAAGTAATGGCATGTGTCAATCAAGTTTGAGCCGAAAATAATGATCAGCAACCTGCAAATGTGAATGCCATGGAGAGGTCTAAATATATAAGTTGTAAACTTGTCAATGAATGTGAAATATTACTTTTGTCAATTTTGTTGCAAGGACCCAAAGGCCAAAAATAAATTAGCTAGTTTCTTGGATAAGGCATTTTAGCCAGAGTCATTTCTGAATCAGAACTTCAATGTACAGTGGAGTCAGTCAACTGGAGCTGTTTTTAATCAATATAATTAATTTCTGAACAGTGTCTTGAGGTTGTATCTATTCAATTTGCTGTGTGTTGTATTCATGGTTTTGATTTTAGAAATGCACTGTACATGTATTTAATTTCCTACTTTGGTGCCAAGCTTTTTTATGGTCCGTTTAAGTTGAAACTGACTCCATTTCCATCTGGACCTTTAGTCAGGAGGTTTGTATGGTTTTCTTCTTCCTGTCCTCCTGCTGGCTGCTGTAGAAAAGTGGAGTAAACCCATATCAGTGTCTGAGACAAGAGAGCTTTCTCTACTCCATAAGAGTTATGTTTTTAGAGATTAACTTCTGGTCCTGTTTAGTGGAGAAATGAGGAAGCTGGCAAGAAAGAGAGAAAGGAGGAGAGAGAGAAAGACTGGAGGAAGGCCTGTGCCGCCCACCAACACTCAGTCACACTCTGTGAGTTTATGAGCCTCAGACTATGTGTGAATGTGACCTTGAAACAAGCATGCGCTTTGGTTGGAGCCATTAGGAAACGTGTCAGTGGATCAGGCCCGGGCCACGGCGTGTGTGCGTGTGCACGCGCGTGTGTGTGTGTCTGTGTGTGTGTGTTTATGCATGCCGCTCATTACCAACAACCCTGGGTATCAGTCAGATGTTAAATGCAATGCAGGTGATGGCAGACACTTATCTCAGTAAGACAGTGCAAATGTGTGTGTTTAATAAACAGAGCTACTCCCCAGGAGCTACCCCACTATCTGCCATGGGGGTTAGATACACTTCATTGCATTTATCCCATTTAGCTTTGACTGAAAGCTGCATGCAGCACTCCAGTTTTCACTCCAATCTTCCTATTTATTTGCAAATTAATATATCTAATGAGTTGTAATGTGAATCATGGCTTGTAGCACAATGGGACACTTGTCTACATTTGGCCAATACACAATACTACCCAGTTAGCACAAAACGTTCTGAGAACCTTTTGTTTCTTAGATCTTGGTGAAAGTGTGGTTGTCCTATGGATATTTTGCATATGGTTATTTTCCCACAACATTCTGGGAATGGTGCAGGATAGTTGCTTGCTTTTGGAACATTCTCATCAGATTTAAGGAACTTTACAAAAAAAAAATACTTTCTTGGTATTTCATTACTTTAACAAAACATTTACTAAAAGTTCAAACATGGTTACATTTAATTTCATCCAAATGGTTTGACATTGGGAATGTTCTCAAATAGTTCCAAGAACATTAAGAGACAATGTTTTTCTGTGGGAATTTTAGTACTTCCACTGAACATTTCACACAAGTTCCATGTGGTTCTATTTCATGTCATATTTTTACTACATTCTGGGAACATTCTCAAAAATGGTGTGACTGATGCTGCGTTCACGTGCTAGTCAGAACTAGGAAACTCTGAAATCTCCGACTTGGAAACTCGTTGTAGAAACATGAGCTCAGAGTTTCCAACTTGAATGTACCAGAATCATCCAAATAACTTACGTTCATTTTAACTCATAGGTTCTGAATTTCCGATAGCAAGTGAACGCGGCATTAAGCGATGTTCTCAGAATGTTCAGAGAATATATGGTTCTCAACAATTGCGCACATTTAGCTCTATCCTCAGAGTTATAGGCCTACAGCAAAAAGGGAAGGCCTAACTGCATGCTTTTCATGATCAGTAAACATTAATTGATCATGTAATTTCAGATACGTGAGGGTAGCCTCACGATATCTCTCAATATTGACCACCATTAATTTGATATTTGAGTGATATCATATAAAAGTGAAGTATACCTGATAAGTATAAGTGGTTTAGGTTAATTTCCCAAACTTTGTGGGGTCTGCCTGTCAAGCAGAAGAAGGGCGCTATTGTTGGCTGATAATGTTTAATTTGCAAGCTACCAGTAAAAACTTTGTACAGTTAAACATAATGGTTGGTAAGTAGACCTAATGTAC